AGCCTAGGGGTGCTGAGACTGGGGGTGCTGAGCCTGGAGGTGCTGAGCCTGGGGGTGCTGAGTCTGGGGGTGCTACGCCTGGGGGTGCTGAGCCTGGGGGTGCTGAGCCTGGGGGTGCTGAGTGTGGGGGTGCTACGCCTGGGGGTGCTGGGTCTGGGGGTGCTGAGCCTGGAGGTCCTCCGCCTGGAGGTTCTCCGCGTGCTTCGTCTCGTCGGGAGCCACTCTCTCCACACGAGCTGCGCGAGTGGTTTGCCCGGCGCTGGAGCCGTGCTGCTGGTGCTGGAGGTTCTTCGGCTACTGAGGGTGCTGCTGTTGCGGGTCCCGGAGGTACTCGTACTGGGAGTACTGGAGCTGCTGGGCCTGCAGGTTCGACTGGAGCTGGTGCTGCTGAGGGTGTTGGCGCTGCGGCTACCACTGGTGGAGCTGCTGGAGGTGCTGCTGGAGCGGGTGCTCCTACTGGGGGTACTGGTGCTGTCCCTGCTGTTTCTGGCGTCGCTACGCGGCCTCGACCGTACTTCGTTCCACTCCTGCAGCAGGTTCTTGGTCTTCCGCCTTCTGCTGGTCCTCCTCCTCCCTTGGAGGGTCCACAGCCTGTCCCGTCGCAGTCACAGCTACAGCCTACCTCCCCTTTGCCTGCTCCTTCTCCCTACACTGGTCCTACTGGAGGTCTTACTGAGCGTCGTGAGCCTGCGTCTCGCCCTGCGTCGCCTGTCCGTACTGCTCGCGCTAGTGGTCGTGGTTCGCGTCCGCGTCCTCCTCCTGTCCCTGGCACGCACCGGATGTCTCTGCGTCCGTCCACTGCTCCTCTGCGTGCCCCTTTGCCTTCTCCTCCTGAGTCCTCCCTTCCTGCTCTTCCCGACCCGGAGTCGGACTCTCTTCGTGCTGCCAGTCCTACTGTCACGCGTCTCCTTGCTACTGTCGTCACTGACCCTTCTTTCGAGTCTACTGCTGCGTCTGCCCTAGTTGCTGAGCTCGTCGACTTTGCTGCTCGCTGTCGCCTAGACTACGCTGCTAGTCTTGTTGCTGAGTCTGAGTCTGTCTGTCCTCCGTCCGTCGGGGGTGAGTGTGCCCTTGGCACGGACGTCCTTGAGGACAGGCAGGAGGAGTTCCAGTGTCTGGCAGCTGCTTCACCTCATCTCGTGTCCGTACTGCTTACCCCTGAGGGAGACCCGGATGCACTTGACATCCCGACTCCGCGCTCTTACGCGGAGGCGATAGAGGGTCCCTACTCCTCTCAGTGGCAGGCAGCTATGGATGCAGAGATGGCTTCCTGGAAGTCCACAGGCACCTACGTTGACGCTGTCCCCCCTCCTGGGGCGAACATCGTCAGTGGCATGTGGATCTTCAGGGTGAAGCGGCCGCCGGGTTCTCCGCCTGTCTTCAAGGCTCGTTACGTGGCTCGTGGCTTCAGTCAGCGGCAGGGAGTTGACTACTTTCAGACCTTCTCCCCCACCCCGAAGATGACCACTCTTCGGGTACTGCTACACGTTGCTGCTCACCGTGACTACGAGCTGCACTCTCTCGACTTCAGCACTGCTTTCTTGCAGGGCAGCCTGCACGAGGAGATCTGGCTGCGCCGCCCACCTGGCTTCACTGGGTCTTTCCCTCCTGGTACCCAGTGGAGTCTCCGGCATCCAGTCTACGGTCTCCGCCAGGCGCCACGTGAGTGGCACGACACACTGAAGACTACGCTTGCGGCTCTTGGGTTTGCTCCTTCTACTGCCGACCCGTCGCTGTTTCTGCGCACCGACACCTCTCTGCCGCCGTTCTACATCCTCGTGTACGTCGACGACTTAGTCTTTGCCACAGCTGACACTACTGGACTCGCCCACGTGAAGTCCGAGCTGCAGAAGAGACACACGTGCACAGACCTGGGTGAACTGCGCAGCTACCTTGGCTTGCAGATCACCCGGGACAGAGCACGCCGCACCATTACCCTGACTCAGTCACACATGGTGCAGCAGGTCCTTCAGCGCTTCGGCTTCACGTACTCCTCGCCTCAGGCCACTCCTCTGCCTACTCGCCACTCACTCTCAGCTCTGCCTTCGGATGAGTCCGTAGAGTCGAGTGGCCCGTATCCAGAGCTTGTTGGCTGCCTCATGTACCTGATGACCTGCACACGACCTGACCTTGCATACCCTCTTAGCATTCTTGCACGCTATGTTGCTCCTGGGAGACACCGACCAGAGCACATGGCTGCTGCGAAGAGGGTGTTGCGCTACTTGTGCAGTACGTCGGGCATGGGGCTAGTGCTTGGAGGGCGGAGTCCAGTGGTCCTCACTGGGCACGCGGACGCTTCTTGGACTGACGACCAGGCTACGCAGCGGTCGTCACAGGGTTACACTTTCAGCCTCGGTTCCGGCTCTGTTTCGTGGCGGGCTACTCGCTCGTCTTCTGTTCTCGGCTCCAGTTGTGAGGCTGAGATCTACGCTGGGGCCATGGCTGCCCAGGAGCTTCGCTGGCTCGCCTACCTGCTGACCGACCTTGGAGAGCCGCCTCGTTCTCCTCCAGTCCTGTACGTAGACAACAAGGCCATGCTGGCCTTGTGTCGAGAGCAGAGACTGGAGCACAGAACTAAGCACATTGCTCTTCGCTACTTCCTTGCTCGTGAGCTACAGCAGCGTGGTCAGTTGCGGCTTGCGTACGTGGCCTCTGAGGCCAACACTGCTGATGTCTTCACCAAGGCTCTTCCGCCTTGTGATCATCAGCGCTTCTGCACCCAGCTGGGTCTTGTCCCTGTCTTGCCTCACTTGCTCACCCCTTGACCTTGCTTGTACTGTTACATATATATATACCTGCTCTTGCTTGTCTAGCCTTATCTATATATATATGTACTCCTGCATGTGAACTGGCCTTCTGGCCTTAAACTTGTGCTCAGAATGTGTGGTGACGTTGTGATCCACCCTGAGCTTGCCTTGCTTTGCTTTGCTTGACTGGTCTTGTGACCCCTTGTTCTCCCCCACTTTGCCTATGGGGGTGTGTCAGAACGCATATAGCATATACTTTTGTGTAGGCTGTAGTGGGGTATCCCATAGGGGGTACAACCCAATTAGGGTTAGTACTTGTACCCACTTCATTCATAGTTCATCCACTCTTGTTTCTTCTCAAAGGCATCTGATTCCCACTTCTCATGCACATGTTAATTCCCTTTTCCCTTGCATCAGGCTCTGATTGATTTTTCAGATGCCACTTGTGTCTCGTCTCATTTCCATACATCAGGCATCTTCGCCATTTTCATGCATCAAGCATCTGATTCCCGATCTCACAGGTCGTCTGACTTGCATCTCTCAAGTATCAGCCATTCAATACCACATCCCTCCCTCTCCCCCCCCCCCCCCCCCCCCCCCCGCCTCCCCCTCCCCCCCCTTGGATTTCACATTTCATGCTTTGGTAGTGTGCTCTATGAGGTCAGACGCTCCATTTTCCATGACACATGACCTATGACCGCTTCCACCCTGCTTTCTCTCTTTCTCTCAGTTCCTCCATTCTTTTCCTCTTCTCATATTTTAGGATGAAAGAGTACAGAGCAGCGCATGTCGTGTAAGACTTCCATGGGTTAAGGTTTGTTGACTTGATCTTCCGCAGCTCACCAGTGTCAGAAGGAATCGTCAGGTCTGACCTTGCAGAGTCACAGGTGTGACACTGAGTCAGGGTCAGGGAAGCTGATATGCTGTTTCGGCAACAGTGCATTTGTATACAGGGAAGACATGGCCCATCTGTAATCAAACCGTCACTTTCATGGATATCGAACGAGTCTCGTCATTTGTTGTGCTGCTAAACATCGTGCGTGTACAATCGGTGCGTTACGTGATTGAGGCTGTGGCCTTGAAAAATGTGTACCGCTTTTGTTTATTATTCGTTTGCTCTTGATGCCATCGAAACGTTTTGTACAATATAGTAACTAATCTAACCAATGCATTCCAAATTAGAGAGAAAAAATGCCCGTGAATGTGGACATGATGAAGAGATGAAATATATATGAAATGAGCATACACAATGAAGTTAAGCGCACAAACTTGAGAACATGGACAATAACTCGTGCTGGTTGTGCTGTAAGGGGTATAGAAACCTAGGTTTTCGTGTACCACCTGGATCTCACATCTCGCCATCCCTCCCTATTCCCCTCAGCTCCCTACTTCCGAGACAGCCGCCCTAGAAAACCCTAGTTCGCCAGGAGCCGCTGTCACGATGTAGATTAGCTGCTGGATTTTATGTAGAGCATCCGGACGTCACATAATTAGCACGTCTCTTGGTCGCTTCCATCAGCCAACCTCGCCTCCCCTAGTCAACGGAAAGGCCAGGCATTTTGTCGAACTCACGGGCCGCCCGGATTTCACGTGACTTAACCCGAGGAAGCTCGCCACGCGTATCGTGAGTGGGACCATGTCGAAGGTGCGCCAAATGCGGTTCAGGTCGATGATGTCGGTGCAATCATGTGCGCTACAATGTCGGTGGGAGTTTTCTCCGCCGTCCGATTGCACCCCAGCCGCTCGTTTTCCTCCTCTGCCAGCTCATTTCGCGTCATCCACGTGAATGCGCTGGCAAAGGGAAGTCTTGCGAGAAATCTTAACCGGTGATGAAGATCGAAAATGAGCGTGGAGTTCCAATGACTGTCGATCGAGCTGATCCACGTGAATGCGCTGGCAACCGTTGCTCGAATTTTGGAGGGAGCGTGGGGCTCCGATGACCTCGGATCGAGCCTAACAAGGCTCCGACGTTGGTGGGGTCCCAAGGCTGGACCCACGCCGTGCCGAACCGAGCAGGCCCCGCTGTGCGAGCTACCAACGGCGAGAAGCAAACTTCGCTCCCTTGGCTAGCCGTGATTACAATTGGCAAACCGATTGGCTCTTTGCCTTCAATCACATCTCTTTTGCTCTACAATTTCTAGAATCACATCCTGCCTGAACACTGCTCTTGGTTTTTGCTGGAGATCCTGTTTGAAACCCTCTAGAAGTGCTACACTGTTGCTGGTTCCTTCCAGCTCCCACACCTTATATACGATGGCGTTTCTTCACCCTGAATCGGCCCTTGCTGTGGCTGTTGTTGCTGCCGCTTGCTTTGGCGACGCTGCCCAATACATCTGGGAGGTTCCGAGCTGGTTGGCCTGCTCGCCAGCAAGCTCCACTCCGTTTGAATGGCTGACGGAGTGGACTGATGCGGATGAAATAGAGTTGAGAAGCTGCTCTGTCAAGAGCAGCTCAACTCGGAATGATGTGGATGAGGTGCTGCCGCTGCTGCTGCTGGCGGATTACAATTCGGTGAACCCTAGTGAGTTCATCACTGCTGAATGGACGGATGCGGATGAAGCGTACCTGAGGTCTGGTGCTCTCAACCGTCGTATTACTGAAGATAGCTGCGAATGGTTGACAGAAATTTCGCAGGTGGATCCCTCTGAATTCATCACCGAGTGGACGGACGCTGATGAGGCATATCTGAGAGACATGACTGTCAGGTGCTTCTCAGGACCGAGTGAGGGTGACATGCTGCTGCTGTCGCCAAAGCTGAAGCCCCTGACATCAGCTGCTGTGGCGTACAGGGCTGGTAGATTTGCTGAAGTGACCAGCAAGCGGGCATTTCGTGCTCCTTTAGGTTTTTCACGGTTGAGACCTGCTGTGGTCCGGGCTGCTGCTGCAGCTATGGGTGCTGTTGCTTCTGCTGTGGGTGCTGCTGCTGACGCTGTGAGTGCCGCTGCTGCCACGGCTGCCGCTGCTATTTCTGCATCATCTGCAGCTCCCAAGCCTGCAGTCAAGGCTGCAGCTCCCAAGCCAGCAGTCAAGGCTGCAGCTCCCAAGCCAGCAGTCAAGGCTGCAGCTCCCAAGCCTGCAGTCAAGGCTGCAGCTCCCAAGCCAGCAGTCAAGGCTGCAGCTCCCAAGCCAGCAGTCAAGGCTGGAGCTCCCAAGCCTGCAGTCAAGGCTGCAGCTCCCAAGCCAGCAGTCAAGGCTGCAGCTCCGAAGCCAGCAGTCAAGGCTGCAGCTCCCAAGCCAGCAGTCAAGGCTGCAGCTCCGAAGCCAGCAGTCAAGGCTGCAGCTCCCAAGCCAGCAGTCAAGGCTGCAGCTCCCAAGCCTGCAGTCAAGGCTGCAGCTCCCAAGCCTGCAGTCAAGGCTGCAGCTCCCAAGCCAGCAGTCAAGGCTGCAGCTCCCAAGCCTGCAGTCAAGGCTGCAGCTCCCAAGCCAGCAGTCAAGGCTGCAGCTCCCAAGCCTGCAGTCAAGACTGCAGCTCCCAAGCCTGCAGTCAAGGCTGCAGTTCCCAAGCTTGCAGTCAAGGCTGCAGCTCCCAAGCCTGCGGTCAAGCCTGCAGCTTGCAAGCCAGCAGTGAAATCAACAGCAGCTCCTGCCACGGCCAGTGCCAGTGCTGCTCGTGTGGCGCCTCTGAGGCAAGCAGTGCAGAAGGGGTCGCAGGGAAGAACAAGGAGGACAAGTGGGTAAGTCAGGCTGCACAAACAGCCTCACAGAAACAATTATCTCAGACTCCTAGGTAGAAATAGAGATTCGCTCTCAATCTATTGTTGCACAATTGTGTACATAGTCATGTATAGTGTATTAAAATTGAATTTTGGGTTTCTGAAATTGGCTGCTTGCAATGCATGTATAAGCTCTTTAGTTATGTAGTATGAAGTCGTGGAATATGTGTGGTCCACATCCACATGCAGTAAGTCACTTTCTGAGTTACTGGTTAAAAGTTCACATCCCTCCACATGCAGATCTTTTTTTACTTTCTTGAGAGTTGCGGGAGTATTAAGTTTCCCATGCTGTTCCCATCTTTCATGCTGTAAGTGTTAAGTTCCAGAAAGTTATGGGCTATGGATAACCTATGTGATTCCCATATCTTGTGCATGAGGAATCTAATTCGCAAATCCCATCCATCTATCATGTAAATCTCATTTTTCATGCTTATTTACTTGTCTCCTTCCCACTTCCCTTGTAGCAAGCATCTGTTGCCTTCATTCACCATGCATCAGGCACATTCTTTCCATTATCCATGCACAAGGTGCCTGGTTTCCATTTTCTTAACTTCAATCAAGCATCTGATTTTTGTGTCCTGTTAATCATACATCTGGTTTCGTTTCCTGTGCATCATGCATCTTATTCCGATTTCCCATGCATGCAGCATGCGTCAGGCACCTCATTTCCAGTTTCCCTGCATCAGGCATCTCATGCCCATGCATGAGGCACCTCATTCCCATGCATGAGGCACCTCATTCCCATGCATCAGGCACCTCATTCCCATGCATCAGGCACCTCATTCCCATGCATCAGGATTCAGGCACCTCATTCCCATGCATCAAACACCTCATTACCATGCATCAGGCACCTCATTCCCATGCATCAGGCACCTCATTCCCATGCATCAGGCACCTCATTCCCATGCATCAGGCACCTCATTCCCATGCATCAGGCACCTCATTCCCATGCATGAGGCACCTCATTCCCATGCATGAGGCACCTCATTCCCATGCATAAGGCACCTCATTCCCATGCATCAGGCATCTCATTCCCATGCATGAGGCACCTCATTCCCATGCATAAGGCACCTCATTCCCATGCATCAGGCACCTCATTCCTATGCATCAGGCACCTCATTCCCATGCATGAGGCACCTCATTCCCATGCATGAGGCACCTCATTCCCATGCATGAGGCACCTCATTCCCATGCATCAGGCACCTCATTCCCATGCATCAGGCACCTCATTCCCATGCATCAGGCACCTCATTCCCATGCATGAGGCGCCTCATTCCCATGCATCAGGCACCTCATTCCCATGCATGAGGCACCTCATTCCCATGCATCAGGCACCTCATTCCCATGCATCAGGCATCTCATACCCATGCATGAGGCACCTCATTCCCATGCATGAGGCACCTCATTCCCATGCATCAGGCACCTCATTCCCATGCATCAGGCACCTCATTCCCATGCATCAGGCACCTCATTCCCATGCATGAGGCACCTCATTTCCATGCATGAGGCACCTCATTCCCATGCATGAGGCACCTCATTCCCATGCATGAGGCACCTCATTCCCATGCATGAGGCACCTCATTCCCATGCATCAGGCACCTCATTCCTATGCATCAGGCACCTCATTCCCATGCATCAGGCACCTCATTCCCGTGCATCAGGCACCTCATTCCCATGCATCAGGCACCTCATTCCCCCATGTATCAGCCCATTTCCCGTGCGTCTCATATCTCACCATGGATCAAGTATCTGATACGCTTGTCCCATGCATCTGGCCTCTGTTCCTCCTTTACGATCCACCACCCCATCTGGTATTATATCCAACTAACTTGTGCATCCCATTCCTCACATGCTTAGGCGCCTGAGTCTCAATTCCCATATATCAGGCATCTACTTCTTTTTTCCGTTGCACCATCCCGTCTGATTTTCATGGGTTTGCACGTTACGTGTCATATTCCCGTTTCCATGCATCAGGGATCTGAATCTTGATTCACATGCATAAGGCATATGAAATGCCAACTTCTCATGCATGTGCACCTGATTCTGTTCTCCCGTCTGATTTCCTTTTTCCCTGTGGATCAAGCATGCGATTTCATTTCCCATGCATCAGGCATTTGATTCACAAATCCCATCCTTTAAGCACCTGGATCCCGTTTCCCATGCTTAGTCCTTTATTCTTACTCCCTTGCATCAGGCATCTGGTCATTAATCTTCACGCATGCATCAGGCATCCCATTTTTCTTGCAGTAAGCATCTGATTCTCGTTTCTTCTAGTTTCCATTTTCCGTGCTTAAGGCATCTGGCTGATTCTCATCTTCCATGCAACATCCATATGATTTCCGTTTCCCGTGCCTCAAGTATCTCATTTCCGTTATCTATGCAAAAGGCATCTGATTCCCTTATTTCATGCATGCATGGAACACCTGATGTTCATCTCAAGTGCATCATTCTAGGTAATGGATTCCCATTTCCCATGAATCAGCAATCGATTCGCATCCTCTGTCATTGTTCCCATGCCAGTGTATGAGGTCAGGTGCCCCTTGACCCGTTTCCCATGACTCCATGGCCCATGACGACTCATGACCCATGACCCATAGCCTATACATGTTTTCCTGCCGACTCTAGCACAGCCCATTGGTGGTGCATCAACTTCCTTCAATGGGAAATTCAGGTGTGGCCAAGAGGTTAGCAATGGGGAGGGTGAGAGAGGATGTGAAGAGAAGACCATGTGAGTTCAGGTAGAAGAATTGAGATGCTCAAAACTGGGTAGCTATAACATTGTGAGGTCCGTTGGATGTCAGGGATGAGCAATTGAGATTCTTTGCTGTCAGCAGGCAGTGCTTGGTCATTTGCAGCAGCTTCGCAACACTTGATTGAATGTCATTCAGGGTTGGGAGGGGTGTCATGCATCATGGCGCTTTACTCTCTGCCTGGGCTGCCATGAGCGCCAGGCGGGCTGGATGATTTGCCAACGAGCTGTTGAAGCAATCGTGGCAATCTTGGTTACATTTGCTTTGCATCCGACATAAGTTCTCCCAATATTCTGATTTTGCATGTGGCATCTGATTCCGATTCCCCATGCCGCATGCATTAGGTGTCTCGTTCCATTTCCCATGCATCTGGCATCTCATTCCCATTTTCCATCCATAAGGCATCTAATTCTCACTTCTCATGCACATGTTAATTCCCTTTTCCCTTGCATCAGGCTCTGATTGACTTTTCAGATGCCACTTGTGTCTCGTCTCATTTCCATACATCAGGCATCTTTGCCATTTTCATGCATCAAGCATCTGATTCCCGATCTCACGGGTCGTCTGACCTGCATCTCTCAAGTATCAGCCATTCAATACCCCATCCCTCCCTCCCCCCCCACCCTCCGCCTCCCCCTCCCCCCCCATGGATTTCACATTTCATGCTTTGGTAGTGTGCTCTATGAGGTCAGACGCTCCATTTTCCATGACACATGACCTATGACCGCTTCCACCCTGCTTTCTCTCTTTTTCTCAGTTCCTCCATTCTTTCCTCTTCTCATATTTTAGGATGAAAGAGTACAGAGCAGCGCATGTCGTGTAAGACTTCCATGGGTTAAGGTTTGTTGACTTGATCTTCCGCAGCTCACCAGTGTCAGAAGGAATCGTCAGGTCTGACCTTGCAGAGTCACAGGTGTGACACTGAGTCAGGGTCAGGGGAGCTGATATGCTGTTTCGGCAACAGTGCATTTGTATACAGGGAAGACATGGCCCATCTGTAATCAAACCGTCGCTTTCATGGAGATCGAACGAGTCTCGTCTTTTGTTGTGCTGCTAAACATCGTGCGTGGACAATCGGTGTGTTACGTGATTGAGGTTGTGGCCTTGAAAAATGTGTACCGCTATTGTTTATTGCAGCCAGCTTGTGACTTGTCATGTCACATGCCACACCTGTCTGTGGTCAGTACAGCAATCATGCTTCAACTTGCAGTAGTACTGGAACGCTCTATACACTTTATGGCTGTTGAAGACAAAGTCAAACTGGTGAATGAAGTTCTCTTTTATACCACCAACAACCATACATGGGTGCCTTTCAGATGTCTGATAGGCCAGCAAACCAGCAGGCCAGCAGCTTGCCTTCAAGGCACCAAACCACATCAGCACGTGCAGCATGCGGGGGTCAGTGGTGGCTAGTCTTGAGCGTCATCATCAGCAGCACCGCCCTTGTAGGAGCGCATCTGGTCCGCATACCGCGCCTTGTCGTCCCGCGCCTTGCTCTCGTACGGCGCCTTCTCCTCCCCTGCTCGCACCCCAGCACCCGTGGCGAGGGGAGGAAGACGGGGGATCCAGTGCAAGTGAGATGGCAGAGGGTGGAGAGGCAGGTGGGATGCACGGAAGGGATTGCAGAGGGAAAGAGGCAGTCGCCCATAAGGATATGCAGGGGGAGAGGCAGGGGAACACAGGACCAGGCAACACAGGGATAACACGTTAGGCTGAGTGACAGAAGATGAAAGCAGATGGCAGCAGGTGGGAGCAGATGCAGTGAGGTACATGTGGCAAGGCAGCAGCTCAGCACACATCCTCCTTGCACATCCCTCTTGTAGCATCCCCCCATCTCCCCCCCATTGCACCTGACATCTTCTTCCACTTCTCGCCGATCAGCTTGCCGATGTCCCCAAATGCAATGCCTGGATTGTCCTTCTTCACTTGCTGCACTCATGGGCATGCATGCATGCACACCCATGCACACACACACACACACACAAATATGCACACACGCTCAAATATGCACACACGCACACACATGCACACACACACATACACACACGCACAAATATGCACACACGCACCCAAGCAAGGACACAAGCGCAGAGACGCACGCACACACACATGATCGATCAGATGTTCTCCACTCGCATGGGCCTCGCACCATACGTATCTGCACAAAGTGAGCAGCACAGGCTGCCAGCCATGGCACATGGGAAGAAAGGAAGGGAGGGAGGGAGGGAGGGAGGGAGGGAGGGGGCGCACCTCGCGCTGAGCCTGGCTGAAGTACATGAAGCCCGAGAGGGCGCGCTTGGGCGCGTCAGGGTCCTTCTTCTTGCGCTTCTTCTTGCCGCCGTCATCCGCTGTGCCCCCTCCCGCCCCCTCCTTGCTCTTCCTCTTCGCCGCCCCACTGCTGGCCGCCTTGCCTGCCTTCTCCTCCCTCGCCTTCTCCCTCTCCTTCTCCTTCCGTGCCTTCTCCTGCCCCCACGCACCCACAACCACACACACGCATGCACACACGCACCCACAACCACACACACACATGCACACATGCACACATGCACCCACAACCACACACACACATGCACCCAGAAACACACACACACATGCACCCAGAAACACACACACACACACATGGATACAATAACACACAGGCAGTCTGGGAGCCCCAGACTGCCTGCCTAAACGTCTTCCAAGCGAGCGCCAATGGAACCGTTTTCCCATGACTAGGGAAGTGAATGGAAAAGAAAGTCCTGAACTCGAGTGGGTTCCGGGCCAGCATCGGACACTCCCACCCCTGACGCTCGACCCTTCTTCCCCCCCAGCCAACCCCCTCCGCCCGTCCTTTCCCCATCCGCACTGCACCTTGCGCTTGGCGGTCTCCTCCTCGTCCTCATTGGCTGCTCTGCTGGCATCGCTGTCGCTGTCGCTGCCACTGCCATCGCCGCTGCCGCTGCTGCCCGAGTCGGACGGCGAGCCCCCGTCGTCCTCGTCCTTGCCCGCCACAAAGTCCTCGTCCTGCGCACGCACGAGATGGAGGGGAGGGCATGTGCAGAGCGCACGGGAACGGACGCGGTGGGCACATGGGAGGCATGTGGAGTCGGAGGGCGAGAGCCGGTCGTCCTCGTCCTTGCCGGACAAACGACATCAACATCCAGATTAAACACCCACCCGAACCCACATACTCTCTCCGCTGCTCTGCCCCCACATGCCCCCCTTCCGCCCCCCTCTGCGCGCACCTCCTCGTCGCTCCGCTCTCACGCGCCCCCTCCCCCACCGCGGATGCGGTTGAGGTGAGGGTCCACGGCATCGTTGTGCGCACCGTTGTGCGAGTCCACTCAACCACTCAACCCAGCGTCCGTGTCTCCCCACCGCACATACCCCCACATGTCCTTCCCCCCTGGCGAGCATCACCACGCTCTTGAAGCCTTCAACCCTAAGCACGCACCTCGTCGTCGCTGTCATCCGCCCCCCCTGCCCGGATGCGGTTGAGGTGCGGGTCCACGGCGTCATCATCCGAGTCCACCCCGCCCACCCCCACGCCCCCCACGCCCGCCCCCGCCTCCGCGCCCGCTGCTGCCGCTGCGTGCGAGTCGCCGAGGTTGAGAATCTTGAGGCGCTTGTCGCTGGGGGGAGGGGACGGCGCGTGGGTGGTTGGGGTATACGTGACCGCATTGAGGACGGACGACACTGACATTGAGGACGGACAACACTGACATTGAAATCACAGATGATCGCTACGAGCCACGTGGTGGAAGGGTGGAGTGGTGGATGAATGAAGTGGGCGTCCTTCCGATGGCTAGTAGCAAGTGAGACAGCGATGGTGCACACGGTGTGGCAGACAGATGCATGCGAAAGAGAATCTGTGGCATCGGTGAGTCATGTGGTGAATCAGAGGGCCGTCACATGCATGGATGCAGCAGACCGTCACATGCATGGACGCAGCAGACTGTCACATGCATGTATGCAGCAGACTGTCACATGCATGGATGCAGCAGACTGTCACATGCATGGATGCAGCAGACTGTCACAAACGAGTTGAGATATGAGGCAGGAGGTGGCAGGGAGGCACCTGAAGAAGGAGAAGAGGTTGTGGTACTCGTTGCGCTGGATGTTGCGAAATTGGTGCTCCTGCTCGCTGCGCAGGCGGATGACGAGATCGAAGTAGGACGACGAGATGCTGCTCGTGCCCGCTCCATGCCGCTCAAACTCCACGTACTCCACCTGGTGGGGGGGGGGTGGGGGGGGGAGAAGGGGGGCACGGACAAATGGTGAGAGGAGGCATGGCAAGCAGGGGAGGGAGGCATGCTTGCATTGCAAGACACAATGTGTGAGGCGTGGGACACATCAGGCTGCTGAGGTACATGCGGCTATTGGGGCACGTGGCATGTGGGCTACGAGGGGCATGAGGGGTGGATGGTTCCACCTGCCACCTACCGTGCAATGAGGGGTGGATGGTTCCACCTGCCACCTACCGTGCAATGAGGGGTGGATGGTTCCACCTGCCACCTACCGTGCAATGAGGGGTGGATGGTTCCACCTGCCACCTACCGTGCAATGAGGGGTGGATGGTTCCACCTGCCACCTACCGTGCAATGAGGGGTGGATGGTTCCACCTGCCACCTACCGTGCAATGAGGGGTGGATGGTTCCACCTGCCACCTACCGTGCAATGAGGGGTGGATGGTTCCACCTGCCACCTACCGTGCAATGAGGGGTGGATGGTTCCACCTGCCACCTACCGTGCAATGAGGGGTGGATGGTTCCACCTGCCACCTACCGTGCAATGAGGGGTGGATGGTTCCACCTGCCACCTACCGTGCAATGAGGGGTGGATGGTTCCACCTGCCACCTACCGTGCAAGCGTCCTTTCATGGTGCTGTGGTGTGCCAGCGAGTGCACAGCGCCGTGTGCCGCACAGCCCAGCCATGGCGTGTGAAGCTCAGAGGCAGGACCGAGTGCGAACAGCAAGCCACACACACGAGGCGCTTGATTGAAGACCACGAGGCCCTCTCTCCCTTCTCCCATTCGCTACACTCACCTCCCCCTCCCATTCACCTCGTCACCCTCCTGCTTGCATCCCACCCCCCTCACCAAACCCTTTCCCCAGCCATTCTCCGATCCCTAAGCAAACCAAACCAAACCCCACTGACATCACACCTCACAACAAACCCAAACCCTTCATTCACCTCCTCCCCTCCTCCCCTCCTCCCCTCCTCCCCTCCTCCCCTCCTCCCTCCTCCCTCCTCCCTCCTCCCCTCCTCCCCTCCTCCCCTCCTCCCCTCCTCCCCTCCTCCCCTCCTCCCCTCCTCCCCTCCTCCCCTCCTCCCCTCCTCCCCTCCTCCCCTCCTCCCCTCCTCCCCTCCTCCCCTCCTCCCCTCCTCCCCTCCTCCCCTCCTCCCCTCCTCCCCTCCTCCCCTCCTCCCCTCCTCCCCTCCTCCCCTCCTCCCCTCCTCCCCTCCTCCCCTCCTCCCCTCCTCCCCTCCTCCCCTCCTCCCCTCCTCCCCTCCTCCCCTCCTCCCCTCCTCCCCTCCTCCCCTCCTCCCCTCCTCCCCTCCTCCCCTCCTCCCCTCCTCCCCTCCTCCCCTCCTCCCCTCCTCCCCTCCTCCCCTCCTCCCCTCCTCCCCTCCTTCCCACCTCCACCCCCCCCCCCCCCTCCCATGCGCGCACCTCATCGTGCAGCACGAGCGTGGGCGGCTTGGGGAGGAAGAAGAAGCTCTTTTCGAGCGGGTAGAGGTACCCCTCCTCCGCCTTGAGCGACGTGCGCACCGCGTACCCGTCGCTGTTGCTGCGGAACGACCCCGGCCGCGTCACCTTGGCGCCCGACAGCCCCCGCAGGATCTGAGCAAACACCTCGTGCACCAGGCCCTGCTTGGGGGTAGGGGGGAGGCACGGGGCACGGTGGGGCACGGTGGGGCACGGTGGGGCACGGTGGGGCACGGTGGGGCATGGTGGGGCATGGTGGGACATGGGGGCCGCATGGGTAACCTTGGCGCCCGTGGTCCGACAGCCCCCTGGGGATGTGAGCGAACACCTCGTGCACCAGGCCCTGTGTGTATGTGCACCAGGCCCTGTGTGTATGTGCACCAGGCCCTGTGTGTATGTGCACCAGGCCCTGTGTGTATGTGCACCAGGCCCTGTGTGTATGTGCACCAGGCCCTGTGTGTATGTGCACCAGGCCCTGTGTGTATGTGCACCAGGCCCTGTGTGTATGTGCACCAGGCCCTGTGTGTATGTGCACCAGGCCCTGTGTGTATGTGCACCAGGCCCTGTGTGTATGTGCACCAGGCCCTGTGTGTATGTGCACCAGGCCCTGTGTGTATGTGCACCAGGCCCTGTGTGTATGTGCACCAGGCCCTGTGTGTATGTGCACCAGGCCCTGTGTGTATGTGCACCAGGCCCTGTGTGTATGTGCACCAGGCCCTGTGTGTATGTGCACCAGGCCCTGTGTGTATGTGCACCAGGCCCTGTGTGTATGTGCACCAGGCCCTGTGTGTATGTGCACCAGGTACTGTGTGTATGTGCACCAGGCCCTGTGTGTATGTGCACCAGGCCCTGTGTGTATGTGCACCAGGTACTGTGTGTATGTGCACCAGGCCCTGTGTGTATGTGCACCAGGCCCTGTGTGTATGTGCACCAGGCCCTGTGTGTCTGTGGGGGAAAGGGACGTGGGGGGCACGAGTGGGGGCACGGTGGGGGAAAGCGGGGCACAGTGGGGGCAAGGGGGGGCATGGTGGGACATGGTGGGGCATGGTGGGGCATGGTGGGGCATGGTGGGGAATGGTGGGGAATGGTGGGGCACGCTGTGGGTGGTGTAAATAGCTGTGGAAGCATTGGCTCATACCGTTGGCAGACCATGCGCGGGCAAAAAGCAACCTTGGCATGCTCGTCTGACCTTGGCATGCTCGTCTGACCTTGGCATGCTCGTCTGACCTTGGCATGCTCGTCTCACCTTGTACACGGGCTGCAGGCAGTCCTCACCTTGTACACGGGCTGCAGGCAGTCCTCACCTTGTACACGGGCTGCAGGCGGTCCTCACCTTGTACACGGGCTGCAGGCGGTCCTCACCTTGTACACGGGCTGCAGGCAGTCCTCACCTTGTACACGGGCTGCAGGCAGTCCTCACCTTGTACACGGGCTGCAGGCGGTCCTCACCTTGTACACGGGCTGCAGGCGGTCCTCACCTTGTACACGGGCTGCAGGCGGTCCTCACCTTGTACACGGGCTGCAGGCGGTCCTCACCTTGTACACGGGCTGCAGGCAGTCCTCACCTTGTACACGGGCTGCAGGCGGTCCTCACCTTGTACACGGGCTGCAGGCGGTCCTCACCTTGTACACGGGCTGCAGGCGGTCCTCACCTTGTACACGGGCTGCAGGCGGTCCTCACCTTGTACACGGGCTGCAGGCAGTCCTCACCTTGTACACGGGCTGCAGGCGGTCCTCACCTTGTACACGGGCTGCAGGCGGTCCTCACCTTGTACACGGGCTGCAGGCCGTCCTCACCTTGTACACGGGCTGCAGGCAGTCCTCACCTTGTACACGGGCTGCAGGCGGTCCTTGTACTTGGTGGTGAGCAACTCGTCGCTCAGTGACAGCCCGCCCTCAAACGTCTCCTCGTTGGGGAACTGTCAACATGTGCACACACACACAGGGGGTGGGCACACACACAGGGGGTGGGCACACACACACAGGGGGTGGGCGCACACACACAGGGGGTGGGCGCACACACAGGGGGTGGGCACACACACACAGGGGGTGGGCGCACACCCACAGGGGTTGGGCGCACACACACAGGGGGTGGGCGCACACACACAGGGGGTGGGCGCACACACACAGGGGGTGGGCGCACACACACAGGGGGTGGGCGCACACACACAGGGGGTGGGCGCACACACACAGGGGGTGGGCGCACACACACAGGGGGTGGGCGCACACACACAGGGGGTGGGCACACACACACAGGGGGTGGGCGCACACACACAGGGGGTGGGCACACACACACAGGGGTTGGGCGCACACACACACAGGGGGTGGGCGCACACACACAGGGGGTGGGCACACACACACAGGGGGTGGGCGCACACACACAGGGGGTGGGCGCACACACACAGGGGGTGGGCGCACACACACACAGCGGGTGGGCGCACACACACAGGGGGTGGGCGCACACACACACAGGGGGTGGGCACACACACACAGGGGGTGGGCGCACACACACACAGGGGGTGGGCACACACACACAGGGGGTGGGCGCACACACACACAGGGGGTGGGCACACACACACAGGGGGTGGGCGCACACACACAGGGGGTGGGCGCACACACACAGGGGGTGGGCGCACACACACAGGGGGTGGGCGCACACACACACAGGGGGTGGGCGCACACACACAGGGGGTGGGCGCACACACACAGGGGGTGGGCACACACACACAGGGGGTGGGCGCACACACACAGGGGGTGGGCGCACACACACACAGGGGGTGGGCACACACACACAGGGGGTGGGCGCACACACACAGGGGGTGGGCGCACACACACAGGGGGTGGGCGCACACACACAGGGGGTGGGCGCACACACACAGGGGGTGGGCACACACACACAGGGGGTGGGCGCACACACACAGGGGGTGGGCACACACACACAGGGGGTGGGCGCACACACACAGGGGGTGGGCGCACACACACAGGGGGTGGGCGCACACACACAGGGGGTGGGCACACACACACAGGGGGTGGGCGCACACACACACAGGGGGTGGGCGCACACACACAGGGGGTGGGCGCACACACACAGGGGGTGGGCACACACACACAGGGGGTGGGCGCACACACACAGGGGGTGGGCGCACACACACAGGCAGGCAGGCAGAAGCAGAGGGAACGGCATGGGTGGAGCGTGGAGCACAATGCATGGAGTAGGGAGGCAGCATGGAGTAGGGAGGCAGCATGGCCCACAAGAGGCACAGAGCAGCAGCAGAGGAGATATGTGCGGCGGAGCATGGGGGCATGGAGTGGTGGAGGGAGGTGGAAGGTACGAGTGCATGCAGCATGCATGGACCTTGCACTGCAGGGTGCGAGAGAACGTTGGGAGCAGTGTTGGGAGCAGTGGTTGCAAGGGGTGGGTGGGGCGCACCTGCAGCACGATGTGAGGGTAGAGCGTCTGGCCCTTGCGGATGGGCGTGTCCAGTGTGACCACCACGAACGTGTGCGGCTGGTTGGCCTGCACGGCGCATGGCACACACAAGGAGACACAGAGACACAGAGAGAGGCGTTGGAGGTTGGAGGCGGCACGGCATGGTGGTGACAGAGAGCCCTCATGACAGCAGCAGTGAGCATTGAGCATAGTATGTGGTAGCGGGTATGGTTCAACAGGCGGCTCGACCCCGCATGCACCACGGCTGCAGCATGCAGTGCTGCCCGCCTGCCGTGCCATGGCACCATCTGGGCTGCTGCTGCACTGCAAAGCATTTCTGGCAATGACAGCAGCCCACAGCGACACATCTTGGGCAGCGGGAAGAGGCTCACCTTGGGCAGCACGAAGAGGCTCACCTTGGGCAGCACGAAGAGACTCACCTTGGGCAGCACGAAGAGGCTCACCTTGGGCAGCACGAAGAGGCTCACCTTGGGCAGCACGAAGAGGCTCACCTTGGGCAGCACGAAGAGGCTCACCTTGGGCAGCACGAAGAGACTCACCTTGGGCAGCACGAAGAGGCTCACCTTGGGCAGCACGAAGAGGCTCACCTTGGGCAGCACGAAGAGGCTCACCTTGGGCAGCACGAAGAGACTCACCTTGGGCAGCACGAAGAGGCTCACCTTGGGCAGCACGAAGAGGCTCACCTTGGGCAGCACGAAGAGGCTCACCTTGGGCAGCACGAAGAGGCTCACCTTGGGCAGCACGAAGAGACTCACCTTGGGCAGCACGAAGAGGCTCACCTTGGGCAGCACGAAGAGGCTCACCTTGGGCAGCACGAAGAGGCTCACCTTGGGCAGCACGAAGAGGCTCACCTTGGGCAGCACGAAGAGGCGGGCGAGGTTCTTGTACTGGATCTTGAAGTCGACAGCCATGCCCTGCAGGCGCACGTGGCTGACGTGCAGCTCCACCTTGAAGCGGCCCCTGGGCGTGAGGATGTGCACGCCCTCAAACTCCACCACCGCCTCGTCGCCCGATGGCCCCACGTCCGCGCGCGCCAGGATCTGCTCCTGGAATATCTGGTGGGGCCAGGGGGTGCCATGGGGACAGGGGACGGCACGAAGGGGGAGGAAGCATGCCGTGGTGGAGCATCCAAGCCGGGTAGAGAGTGCTGTGACTGCGAGTGCAGAGGCGGCATATCGTGGTGGCATGGTGCATGGCACGCACGGGGACATGGGCGCATGCTTGCTCCGCGTGGCAGTGCCTGGCGGCCTGGGGCAAGGGATGGCGTGCGCATGAGACCGCTGTGCGTGAAGGGGTGGGCTAGCAAGAACGGCAACGGGGAGTGGCAGTGCAGAAAGATAGGGAGTGGCAGGGCTTGGCTGGGCGGAAGGCTTGCCTGTGGGGAAGGCTTGCCTGTGGGGAAGGCTTGCCTGTGGGGAGGGCTTGCCTGTGGGGAGGGCTTGCCTGTGGGGAGGGCTTGAGTGTGGGGAGGGCTTGAGTGTGGGGAGGGCTTGAGTGTGGGGAGGGCTTGAGTGTGGGGAGGGCTTGAGTGTGGGGAGGGCTTGAGTGTGGGGAGGGCTTGAGTGTGGGGAGGGCTTGAGTGTGGGGAGGGCTTGAGTGTGGGGAGGGCTTGAGTGTGGGGAGGGCTTGAGTGTGGGGAGGGCTTGAGTGTGGGGAGGGCTTGAGTGTGGGGAGGGCTTGAGTGTGGGGAGGGCTTGAGTGTGGGGAGGGCTTGAGTGTGGGGAGGGCTTGAGTGTGGGGAGGGCTTGAGTGTGGGGAGGGCTTGAGTGTGGGGAGGGCTTGAGTGTGGGGAGGGCTTGAGTGTGGGGAGGGCTTGAGTGTGGGGAGGGCTTGAGTGTGGGAAGGGCTTGAGTGTGGGGAGGGCTTGAGTGTGGGGAGGGCTTGAGTGTGGGGAGGGCTTGAGTGTGGGGGCGTGGCTGACCTGTGCGGAGGGCTTGTCGTCGGTGCCAACAAAGGTGGTGTTGGACGTTGGTACGTGGAAACTCATCTCCACCAACATGTCCTTCTGTTATTGGCGCGGGGTGATGCAGGGTTGCATGCACACCGTGGCACACAGAGGCACACAGGCACACATGCACACACACAGAGGCACACACATGCACACACACAGAGGCACACACATGCACACACACAGAGGCACACACATGCACACACACAGAGGCACACACATGCACACACACAGAGGCACACACATGCACACACACAGAGGCACACACATGACACACACAGAGGCACACACATGCACACACATGCACACACACAGAGGCACACACATGCACACACACAGAGGCACACACAGGCGGTTACGGCAGACGAAACAGCACTCTGGAAATGGTTGAAGTGGCAATCGTGCTGCTTCCAGCCCCTCTCACGAAACCAACATGCCACTTGCATTTGAACTTCGCAACTTAGATACATGCCACATCAGCATACAAAGCAAGCACTTGCCACGTCAGCGCACCTCAGCAGCAGTGGCAGTGTCGTCCACGTGGAACTCCAGCAGCACGTCGTTCTTCCCTGACAGCTGAGTCTGTGACACGTCAGCAATGGAGATCTCGAAGGCCTGCTTGCCGCCCACCTGGAATCCCAGCATCGTGCCTGCATGGGTGTGCGTGCATGGGTGCAGCAGAGCATGGGAAACATCAAACAGCACGTGACACGAGGGCATGGGTAACATCAAACAGCACGTGACACGAGGGCATGGGAAACATCAAACAGCACGTGACACGAGGGCATGGGAAACATCAAACAGCACGTGACACGAGGGCATGGGAAACATCAAACAGCACGAGACACGAGGGCATGGGAAACATCAAACAGCACGTGACACGAGGGCATGGGAAACATCAAACAGCACGTGACACGAGGGCATGGGAAACATCAAACAGCACGTGACACGAGGGCATGGGAAACATCAAACAGCACGTGACACGAGGGCATGGGAAACATCAAACAGCACGTGACACGAGGGCATGGGAAACATCAAACAGCACGTGACACGAGGGCATGGGTAACATCAAACAGCACGTGACACGAGGGCATGGGTAACATCAAACAGCACGTGACACGAGGGCATGGGAAACATCAAACAGCACGTGACACGAGGGCATGGGTAACAAGACTACATGGCGGGAGCTCAGGGCCAAGCGGACGCAGCAGAGGGCGAAGCAGCGGAAAGCCAAATCAACCCCCTCTCCCTTCGCCCCTTTTGCACGCACAGCACAGCGCGCTGTAGTGCAGCCCGGTGCGGTGCGGTGGTGGAGGTTACCTTCGATCTCGGCGTCGCCCCAGTTGCGGCCGCTGGTGGCGAGCTCGCTCTTGCGCGGCTGGAAGCCGAGTGTGGAGGCGAGGAAGGGCGAGAGCGCGTCCACGTCAGCCTTGGTGAAGCCGTTGAACTTCACCTTGCCGCCCGCCTTGAGCCGCACGCACAGCTGGTACCCGCGCGGCACGCGCATCCACACCACGCCCGCCATGTCCGTGCGCTGCACGTCCACCTGCTTCCCCCCGCCCAGCTTCCGCCACGCCAGCCCGCCCGTGTGCACGCGCAGCTGCCCCGGGGTCTGCGCGGGGAAGAGGGATCCGCTAATTCATGAGTTCGCAAAGGCATGAAATATCGCGAAGGCACGAGGGTCTCGCGAAGGCATGGGAGGTTCGCGAAACCACGAGGAATTCGCCAAGCCACGAAATATTTGCAAAAGCGCGAGAACGGGGAGCAGCGGAGGGAGTTGGGGGGAGGAAGGCGAGCGGGAGAGGCTGGCATGGAGAGGATCAGCGCGAGGAGCGGGCGCAGAAGTACTTGCCAGAGCCCCGCGGCCGCCGAGGAGGATGTTGTTGAACTGATGCACCGCCACGTCAGCCATGGCGGCGACCTGGCGGAGCTGCTGATGTGGCGAGACTGCTGAGTCCGCGAAAGCAGCTATATCAACAAAATTGTTGCGGCTTTTGCGTCAGTCCTGGTCGCAGAGGTAGGAGACCTAGTCTGGTCTAGTTTGAGCAGCAGACTCGCCCGAAGTCAAACAAAATCATTACTAGTTTCTCCGTAAGGGCGTGTCCAGCGCGTTCATTTTGGGAAATTTAGTGCCTTCAAATGTTTCCCAGCTCAAAAAATCTCACTGTACCTAGAAACAAATCCAGCGCGCGGACTCGGCCCCCGCCACGCCAATTTCTACAGTGCGTGGAAAACGAGGTAACTGTAGAATCCCGCGCAAGCGAATTCACCACGCTTGAACGAAAAGTTACTGTAGTGGGCAGGACGCAATGCTGTACCCTTCTTCGTGAGTACGCTGATTCCAGTAACGTGAGTCAGACGATTCGAGGTACGTGCAGGAGGCGTGCCATCTTGTGAACGAAAGCTGTTCGTGTCCGACCTTTTTGTAAAATGCAATGTTACAACCCAAAATGTGGTAACTGAATGTTTTTATGAACTGCTGGACCCACGAAATCTCTATTTTACCTGACCGTCATGGTGTGTGTAAGGTGGCTCGCAGATCACTGAGCGAAGATGGGTTCAGAACACTGAAGGAAAATGTGACGCAAGCACTCTCGTAGCCGGCCTTTTTTAGGCAAAGGGGGAATATTGATTTCGATCGATGCATCGATCTGATCCCACTGAACGTCTCGATCCGCCACAATCGATTCCGATCTATGATGGATCGGGTGGATCGGGAACCCCCAGCGCCCGCGAGATTGGAAAAACCGAGGGGCCTTTTCCTGATTCGGGTGTGTCCCTGCCCAGTATCATGTGTAAGCCACGATGCTGTGTGGGGTTTGGATATTACGACAGCCGATGTGGAACTATGTGCCTTGGGTCAGACTCTTGACAGAGGTAGAACGGGCCCTGGGGATTCTGAAAGCAATCCCTGTTTCTCGCCATAGGGGATTTCGGTAGGAGTACAAAAGCACGGCTGAAGGTTGTTAGTTAATGTTTTGGTATGTTCAAATTAGGCAAATTGTATTTGAACAAGGTCAGTCAGCCAGTTTCGTACACTTCAGTATAGCCAGAAACATATGAGTGGGATTTGGATTCTCTCCCACTCTAGAAATTAGGCTACTTGACCGCAAAAAAGGAAATTGCAAAGCCTGCCCTACAGAACAAACAAATGATAGCTGCTTTGCCCGATGTGGAAAAAACGGGGAAGAAAAGGTGGGTGCAATAAGGGAAGGGGGGGGAGGGGGGGGGATGGGTGGGATGGTAGGGGTGGGAGTGGGTGTGTGGTGTGAGAGAGAGGGGGTCGCGCTCAAAAGCCTGTTCCTAGTTGAGTAATGACGGATCTGAAATATTTCTTTGGGGTCTCAAAATCCACATTGTTTTGTTTTTAATCCCCTTCTGGTCGTAGGCACCCATTATTCCACTGGTTCATTAAGGAAACCACTGTTTAGTGATCAACCTATAACGAAGCAGGTCGCACTTTCCAACAACCTTCAACCCGGCCCACCCGTCACAGCTCCGCTTGAACCTTTCACCCGTCGCTGAATTGGCATTTTTGGGTTGCGTAGCAACCCTATATATTTGGTTTGACATTTTGGGGATATCATTTGATGAGTGATATTTACGCACTTTTTGGAGCACCCGTTTTTAATGTTTTGAAATTGTGTTCAAACGGATGCCTCAAATAGTGGATAAATAACACTCTTGAATGGGATCCCCACATGTAAAACCAAATACCGGTACGCACGTACGTATCATGTTGAAACCATGAACTTGCTCGACCGTCCCGACCTCGTCGATAAATACGGCGGATCGTACGACAGAGCATAATATTCTGGCATCAACATGAACGAATGCAATTGTACAAGTGAACAACAAGGTATGAGGTGGAGTAGATGCTTCAAAGTGAATGTTAAAATGCATCATGCAGCAACAGATGTTGATGGGGTCGTTGAAACAGCGAAAACCCGCTGCCCCAAAGACGATTAACATCCTCTAATTGCATACATAACACATAGTGTCAGATTTATATGACATAGCTACTGTAGGACGCTTGGTGTCACCAGTTCCCTGAGGCCACTGAGATCCCTCGCTGGGGCGAGCTGTCTAGGGCGGGTGTAGCTGTCTTTGACCTTGACTTTGATGCTATTCTTGCTGCCATGTATGCTGTGACTATTAGTGATGAGGGTGACTGTTACCGGTGTTTTCCGCCCGACCCGGGCATTGAGACTGCTGCTCTAGGTACTGGTGAGGCTGCTGCTCTAGGTGCTCGTGCGTCTGCTCCCTCAGGTGCTGGTGAGTCTACTCTCTCAGGTACTGCGTCGGCTTCGGCCTCCCACACCTTCACCCTTGACTCGGGGGCTTCTCGCTCCTTCTTTCGAGACCGCACCACACTCACGCCGCTTGGCCGGCCAGTTGCAGTCTCTCTGGCAGACCCCTCTGGGGGTCCTGTCCTTGCTCACTTCTCCACTGTCCTCCCGTGTCCGGCGGCCCCCTCTGGCACCCTGTCTGGTCTCTACCTCCCCTCGTTCTCTACGAACTTGGTGAGTGGCGCTGACCTACAGGATGCGGGGGTTCACCAGTTCACTCCTGCGAGTCAGCGGGTGACCCACTGCACGGACGCTCGGACAGGCCGACACCTGGCCACGTTTACACGTCGGCCGGGGTCGAGCCTGTACACACTCACCACTACGTCTCCTCCAGTCACTGCGTCTGGTCAGGTAGCTGCGTCGGGTCAGGTGTTTGCTGCAGCGTCCAGGTCTGGTCCTGAGTCTGCCCCCTGTTCGTGTCGCCTTCTGTCTCACGAGACTCTCCTCTGGCACCACCGCCTTGGTCACCCCTCCCTGCTTCGTCTCCGAGGCATGGCCTCCCGTGTCCTTGTCTCTGGTCTTCCCCGGTCCCTCCCTCCCCTTCCTCCGGGGCCTGGCCCTACCTGCGTCCCCTGTGTCGAGGGGCGGCAGCGGGCTGCCCCTCACTCCTCCCAGTTTCCTCCGACAGAGGCCCCGCTGCAGACGCTTCACATGGACGTGTGGGGCCCGGCCCGCGTCCGTGGACAGGGTCACGAGCGCTACTTCCTGCTGGTGGTTGACGACTACTCGCGTTACACCACAGTCTTCCCCTTGCGCAGCAAGGGTGATGTCACTGAGGTGTTGATCGACTGGATCCGCGCAGCTCGTCTCCAGCTCAGGCAGAGCTTCGGCTCGGACTTTCCTGTTCTGCGTCTGCACTCTGACAGAGGTGGAGAGTTCTCCTCTGGCCTTCTACGAGCCTACTGTCGTGCACGAGGCATCCGCCAGACCTTCACGCTTCCGGACTCTCCACAGCAATGGGATTGCTGAGCGCCGCATTGGCATGGTCATGGACGTCGCCCGTACGTCCATGATGCATGCGGCTGCCCCCCATTTTCTGTGGCCGTTTGCAGTTCGGTACGCGGCGCATCAGATCAACCTTCACCCCAGGGTCTCCATGCCGGAGACCTCCCCAGCTTTGCTGTGGACGGGGAAGGTTGGCGATGCGTCTGCGTTCCGTGTCTGGGGATCTCGGGCGTTTGTCCGCGACTTGTCTGCGGACAAGCTGTCCCCTCGTGCTGCTCCTTGCGTCTTCCTTGGCTTCCCCCCTGACGCGTCAGGGTGGCAGTTCTACCACCCCACCTCTCGCCGTGTTCTGTCCTCCCAGGACGTCACGTTTGACGAGTCGGTCCCCTACTACCGCCTCTTCCTCTACCGCACTCCGTCCCTCCCCCCGCCACCGCTCTTCCTTGTGCCAGGTCCCCCCCCGGTAGACCCCCTCCCCCCTCAGGGTCCTGCCCCTTCAGGTGTGTCCCAGGTAGACGCAGTCGAGCCTGTCGAGGTTACTGGTGACTCTGGTGCTGCTGAGGGTGCTGAGCCTGGGGGTGCTGACTCTGGGGGTGCTGAGCGTGTGGGTGCTACGCCTGGGGGTGCTGAGCCTGAGGGTGCTACTACTGGGGGTCCTGAGCCTGGGGGTGCTGAGCCTGGGGGTGCTACTACTGGGGGTGCTGAGCCTGGGGGTGCTACGCCTGGGGGTGCTGAGCCTTGGGGTGCTACGCCTGGAGGTGCTGAGCCTGGGGGTGCGGAGACTGAGGGAGCTGGGCCTGCTCGTGTGGCGTCTGGCGGTGCTGAGCCTGGAGGTTCTCCGGGTGCTTCGTCTCGGCGGGAGCCACTCTCTCCACAGGAGCTGCGCGAGTGGTTTGCCCGGCGCTGGAGGCGTGCTGCTGGAGCTGGAGGTTCTTCGGCTGCTGAGGGTACTGGTGCCGCGGGTCCCGGAGGTGCTCGTACTGGGAGTACTGGAGCTGCTGGGCCTGCGGGTACGACTGGAGCTGGAGCTGCTGAGGGTGTTGGCGCTGAGGCTACTGCTGTCGGTCCTGGAGGCGGTCCTGCTGGGGGTGCTACTGGTGCTGCTGGAGGTACTGGAGCTGGAGGTGCTGCTGGCGCTGTTGCTGCCGCTGGGGGTACTGGTGCTGTCCCTGCTGTGTCTGGAGTCGCCGCGCGGCCTCGGCCGTACTTCGTTCCACTCCTTCAGCAGGTTCTTGGTCTCCCGCCTTCTACTGGTCCTCCTCCTCCCTTAGAGTGTCCACAGCCTGTCCCGTCACAGTTACAGTTACAGCCGGCCTCCCCACTGCCCGCTCCTTCTCCCTACACTGGTCCTACTGGAGGTCTTGCTGAGCGCCGTGAGCCTGCGTCTCGCCCTGCGTCGCCTGTCCGTGCTGCTCGTATTAGTGGTCGTGGTTCGCGTCAGCGTCCTCCTCCTGTCCCTGGCATGCACCGAATGTCTCTACGTCCGTCCACTGCTCCTCTGCGTGCCCCTTTGCCTTCTCCTCCTGAGTCCTCTCTTCCTGCTCTTCCTGACCCGGAGTCGGACTCTCTTCGTGCTGCCAGTCCTACTGTCACGCGTCTCCTTGCTACTGTTGTCACT